AGGGAAACCTGCGGCAGACGACGAGACTGACTGCCCCGGAGGCTGAGGAGGACCGGACGGAGAGCCGCGGGCTCAAGGCGAGACAGGGGTCGTCCCCGTCACCGCCTCCCTCCCGCCCCCCAACCCAGGACCCTGCACCTCTGTCCGCCTCCAGGGCCTCAGAGGCGGGAGATCCGGAAGAGGAGGGCGGTGGCGGGGATGCAGGGGGTTGAGGGGGGGGACGCCGTTTATACACCCGACCCGGTGTCACCCGCGTCACAGCCGCATCCTTTGAAAGGAAGCATGCACACACGTGCACACTCACCCATGTGCAAACACACACCATGCACACGCACCCTTGGAGCCGCCAGGGCGTGGTGGTCTGGAGGGAATTAAGTGGAGTCCCCCGACTCCTTGCACACACACACACACACCCGGGGCCTTGTCCTGCTGACCTGACCACCTGCGCAGACCCCGCGCACCTGCTGTTCCAGCCGCGCTTTCCACGATGATGGGACTCTAGAGAGAGTTTCCCTACGGGGTGCAGCCTCTCCAGCTCCCAGGCCTCCGCCTCCCAGCCACCCGAAGTGCTGATCCTGTCCCCCCCCCAAAACCCGCGTCCTTCCTCTCTGCTCTAAGAATGAATTGGCTCCGGTGAACACCCCCTTGGCTAAGCCCAGGAACTGCCAGCCTCCTTCTTGCCTACATCAGGACCCCCATGGTGTCCCCAGACAGATCCCTCTCTCTCTGTCACCAACCCCAGATGTCATCCCTCACTCTCATTTTGGGGCACCCATCCCCACCCCCGTTCATCAAAGCCCAGCTCAGCACCTCACCTTCAAGACATCTGCCCTAATCCCACTGTCAGCACACGGAATCCTTCCCTCCTTTGCTTAGGATTCCCACTTTGTTCATTTGTGTTTTATTTCCCTGTAGGACTGTCAGCTTATGAGCTCGTAGGCAAGCTTCAGACTAAAGCGATCTTTCTTGACTTCTCAGCGTCCACCCCAGCATCTGGTATGTGACTGTTGAATCAGGACGGGTACTAGCGTATCTTGTTAGGGACACACACACATATCAATCTTAGCTGTGAGTTCAGGGCCAGCCTAGGCTACATAGAAACACCCAGGCTGACTCACAAATGGTTTCTTGATAATCCTCAGATCATCCTGGGGCTTGAATTCAGGACCCAGGTACTGTCCCTGAGCTTCTTCTGCTCAAGGATATCACTCTAGCATTTGAGCCACAGCACACTGAGGAATCAAACCCAGGGCTTCATGCATGCTAGGTGAGCACGCCATCACTAAGCCACCCTCCCAGCCCCTCAGATCTTAATTACTCTTTCAAGGTGTTCTTTGTGATTGGTGACCCCTCCCATGCCTGACTGCTCACCTAAATGATGACCACCACCTCCTGCCCTATAGACTCCTCTTCCCCACTCCTGCCAAGAATATATCTGTCCTGTGAATGATTGTTTCTGGATAGCCAGATACAGTTGTCTGGGGAGGGTGGGTGGTTAAAGGAGTTGAGAATAAGAGACGTTCTTATTTACAGAGGTAATTGTTCCAGGAAGATAGACCCCTGGCCATCATGGCGGTGGAGTACCTCATAGGATGAAGCTCTCTGCAGGGAGTTCTGACCAGCCAGGGAGACAAACACCATAGATCTTTTGAAAGATCATAAAGCTCTTCCTTCATCTTCTCATTCCATACCCACATCTGATATACATGAAGACCATCATAGAGCCTAAGGGCCACATTTCCCAAGGTTTACTTTCACGTCCAGTTTGAACCCATCTTCGGCAACAGCTTCCCAGACAGAGGAAGTCCAATAGATGACCACATACTCTGGGGTGAGGTGGTCTTTAATCCAGCCAATGAAAGGAAAAGGGCACCAGGTGAGAAATAAGGGCAGTGCATACATCCTAGACTCTCAGACTCTTGATGTCTGTACTCCATTTAGTTGTTAAAGTGAAGTAGAAGGACATAAGATAGCACACTGGCCTTGGCAAGACCTGTCCTGCTGTCTTCTTTTTTTTTTTTGTTGGTCATGGGGCTTGAACTCTGGGCCTAGGTATTATCCCTCAGCTCTTCAGCTCAAGGTGAGCACTCTACCACTTGAGCCACAGCACCACTTCCAGTTTTCGGAGTGGTTTATTGGGGATAAGAGTCTCACAAACTTTTCCTACTCAGGCTGGCTTTGAACCACAATCCTCAGATCTCAGCCTCCTGAGTAGCTAGGATGACAGGTGTGAGCCACCAGCACCCAGCTTCTTTAAGTAGTTATACAAAGGGATTTCAATTCAACATGCCAGTCTGTAACAAGTATCTTGATCGATGTCAACCTTTCCAACGCTCTTCCTCCATCTCTGCCAACCTCACCTACCCCTTCAAGTGACCTGATCACCCACTTTTCTTCATGTGCTTGTCATGACCCTGATCCTTCTTGGGATATCCAAGAAGCCACTGCAAGATGGTTGCCCTGACCTATCCCGCTCAACGAAGTCTCTTGTCCAGGAACACCAACCTTATTAGCGGCCTAGTCAATTCTTTCCTTCTTCCTCTTCTCTGCATCTGACTTCAAAGGAAAATTGTATCCTCTCTGGGTCTTTTTGATGTCAGTGCAATTCATTTCTGAGCTTGTCACCTACAAAAAAAAAAAAAAAACCGCTCTCCCAGAATTCTCCAGGGTCTTCTCAACTCCAGACAAGAGCATCTATTCCCTGGCTCTCAGGATTCTTGGTAAATGATGTCTCTCAGCCTGCATCCTTTCCTCCCTTGAAATTGACAGATCATCCTCATCATCTCAACTGTTTTTTTGGAGCCACTCACCCTAGCTAACCTTAGTTAGAGGGGATTTTTCTCTCCCATCAAGGCTTTTCCTGGTAGCCCTTACTCCTTCTACCTGCCTCTGGAAGATCAAGTTTGTGTGTCTGCCTTATATACAAACAGTTGTTTATTTCCTTCTTCAGTAGCAAGATCATTTTGTTTTACTCCACACAGAGACTAATAAAATACCTGCCATTTAAGCTGGGAGCTGGTGGCTCACACCTATAATCCTAGTTACCCAGGAGGCTGAGATCTGAGGATCGAGGTTCAAAGCCAGTCGGGACAGGAAAGTCTGTGAGACTCTCATCTTCATAAACCACCAGAAGACCGGAAGAGGCGCCCCATGACTCAAAGCCTGGAGCAAAAGAGCTCCAGGATGGCACCCAGCCCCAGGTTCAAGCCCCATGACACACACAAACACACACACACACACACAAAACCTGATATTTGACAAGAATTTAACACATACCCTGGTGAATGATCCACTTATCTGTTTACTGGAACCATCATCAAATAGGCTAGAATGCAAAACTGGGGTATTTAGCACAGCAGCTCACAAATCTCCAAGTTCAGAGACTTCATTAATTAGAATAAAGTTCCTTGATATGAATACATTGGTTTTAATTAAAATTGTATTGAAGTCAGGTGCTGGTAGCTTACAGCTACTGAGAAAGCTGAGGGTCATGTCTGTGAGACTCTTCTCTCCAATTAACCACCAAAAAGCCAGAAGTAGAACTATGGCTCAGATGGTAGAGTGCCAGTCTTGAGCAATAAACCCAGGTTTTGGGTTCAAGCCTCAGTACCAACAGACACACACACACACACACACACACACACACACGAAAATTTATTGACACACACACACACGAAAATTCATTGAGACATCTTATTGAGTAGCTCTATAAAAGATAAACATGTGGAGCAATTTATTTAAGAAACAAAAAAGGCCAGGCTCTGGTGGCTCACGCCTGTAATTCTAGCTACTCAGGAGGCTGAGATCTGAGGATTGTGGTTCAAAAATCTGAGTATTGCAGTTCAAAGCCAGCTACGGCAGGAAAGTCTGTGAGATTCTTATCTCCAATAAACTACTAGAAAACAGGAAGCGGTGATGTGGCCCAACTGGTAGAGCACTTGCCTTGAGCTGAGCGACAGCGCTCAGGCCCAGAGTTCAAGCCCTAAGACTGACAAAAAAAAGAAACAAAGAAGACAACAGACAGTTTAAAATTGTCACATCACTGTAACTTTTTAGTAGACTGCATTACCATGTATGATAAATTGCAACTTGAGAAGTGATGAAGAAATCCAGTATTTCCTATAGAAATTCTTTCAGAGAACCGGGTGCTGGTGGCTCACACCTGTAATCCTAGCTACTCAGGAGGCTGAGATCTGAGGATGGCGGTTCAAAGCCAGCCCGGGCAGGAAAGACTGTGAGACTCCTATCTCCAATAAACCACCAGAAAACCGGAAGTGGCGCTGTGGCTCAAGTGGTA